TTTGATGTTCTTTTTCAACGTGCTGTTCTGGTTGACCGGAGTGGCTCTTGTGGTGATCGGTGGACTCGGCGAACTCCTGTATGGCGACTACAAGAACATCACTCAAACAGGCTTCACCTCGGCCACAGCCATCCTTATGGGAGTAGGATGTGTTATAGGGGTGTTAGGGTTCGCTGGCTGTTATGGCGCCATCAGAGAAAACTACTACACGCTTAAAGTGTTCTCGTACTTGCTGACTTTGCTGTTGATTGCAGAAATCGCCCTGGGATTGTGGTTGTATTTCGCGCATTTTAGCCTAGCGAAATTCCTTAAGGATTTCCTTGACAATATATTAAGCAAGTACGAGGAAGATAAAGACATACAACATCTAATTGACAAGATCCAGCGTGAGTACCACTGCTGCGGCTCAAAAAGCTACAAAGACTGGTTTAACTCGGAGTGGAACAACCAACGTCAGAAAAACAGCGCGCAGAATTGGGTCAACAGTGTCCCGCGATCCTGCTGTCTTTCCAACACCACGCATCTGCCGAGTTGCGGAAACGATTTGGACACCCCTAACAAACCAGCCGAGAGGTTTGTCCATACAGAAGGCTGTCTGCTTCGCAAGGAGTTCTTCTCGAAGCATATCACGTTTATGATTTCGCTCGGCGCAGGCGTGATGGCGTTACACGTTCTCGCCATTTTGTTTACGTGTTGTCTGCGTCGCGCAATCAAACATTCGTATATGTTGCAGCATGCTGATGGAATTTTACTGATTTCTACTTGATTTATTTGTAAAGAGTTGGCAAAGAGAAATGGGAAATATTGCATACGAAATAGGAGCTAGAAGGCGTAGAGCTTCAATTTTACTTGCCACACAATTTTTATCCGTCACGCAATCGTTACTCATCGTGAAGAACGTTCGAAGAACATCGGTGCATGCAGGGGAATCTACGAATTTTATATAGTGTCTGCCGTCAGTTGTCACGTACTATGTCACGCAAGCTCTCGTAGGACATGTCCATTTATCATAATTTATAGTAAGATTTTGAAATGTATACTCACCGTTGTTTGAATTAAAATCTACATGGTGTTGTAAATTTGCGACTAAACAACTAAGAAAAACTGTCAGCAAGTAAGATAAACGACGTCGACACAAAATGTAAACATTCAAGCAATATCTTTAATATGTTCTGAACATGTTCATGTCAGTGTTATGTTTTTCACAATGGCTAAGACAGCTCTGATTGCAGCATGGCAACTGTTATAGTAGATATAGTTTTCATACTTTTTCAAACTTACTTTACGTTACGTTTCTTACAAAGTTGAAAGTGTTATCGACTCTCTGAAGCGATTTTCTTAAAACGGATGTATAAGTCAGTCCAACCATTGTTTATTCTTAATAAAAGGTGTTATACAGGAGAAAACGTTCTTGTTGTCTTTGCTCAGTTCGTGAAATCCTACCAGCTAACAAGGCTAGATAATTCAATAGACGGCTAACTCACAATTTTCTGGCACACCTCTTTTCCTCAACGAGCAAAGTCTTTACGGCCAGATTCCAATGTAACTAAGTTCCAGAATACTGAAAAGATCTTTCCGCATAGTTACACTTATCGGCCATGCCATAACGGCTGAGCAGCAGTCTTACAGTTATTCCCATTTTGAAGTCTGCCATAATGTTGCGTGACACATCTGCAGTAGTAGTGACGGTGTTGTGACAAGGGTAAACAATTGTTCTTTAGTCTTCGTCACTATCGGCGGCAAGTACAACATCTTGTGACACACCCTGTGAACAAAACGGAACAAAGCACTTCAGTAAGAACACTGCAGAGGTAAAATTGTTATTTTTTATTTACAATACAAGACGAAAGATATTAAGTTGCAACGTGTCTTTCCCTGTTACCTAACTGCCAAAAGACTTATAAGTTTCCCAGGCCTTTACGTTTCAAATTTCTCACACAGCACAACACAGCACAGCACATAACAGTACAAAACTAAACAGGGTTAAAAACTTACTTGACTTTTCGATGCGCTGAAAAACATGGATTTAAACTGAAAGAATACAAAAATACATCATTCAGACATAAACTACATTACAGAGTAGAAATTAAAAGGTTTAATGGAATCTGAAGAAAATAAGGTTAATAGAAGTCCAAATATTGAGAAAAGAGCCATTGTTCTGACCTTTAAAAGTTCTTCGTTCACTGGCCAGTAAAGAAGGTGACTCGGTCATACATCAACGGACTCGAGAATGTGGCCACGTTTACTCTAAAAGCTTAACTTAAAAAATGAATGCGCAGTTCACAGATTTGACAGGAAAGTCACCTCGGGCTAAAACGCTACATACGATATTCGTCACCCTTTGTTGCAAGCCCAAAGGGTTATGCACGGGGCAAGCGATGGTGCTACGTAAGCAATGCAGTGAAACTTGGCACAAAGAACATTTGTTGCGCTAAGTCTTTACCTTTTTATGTGGCGGAGTCCCTGGAATAAAGTCATAGTCCTCATCAGCCACCACATCCATCAGGCTGTCATCAAGTTCATGTCCTCTTGTTTTGTTTTTACCGCTTTGTTTCAGTGAGTTGCCGTCAGGGCTCACACAACTGTCCCCAAGAGAAGGCTGATTTGAAAACAAGACTGAGTGACCTATACATTTTGTCTGGCAGTGATATTACAATAATGCTTGTTTCAACTGATAAAACATAGTTAAGCACGGGTTTCATTGACGTTTTCAGCAAGAAGGCAACTGTTTTTTTCAAAGGCGGGCAAACTAACCTTTTTAACCGAACTTCTTAATAAGAAAAACTTTCCTCTAGATAGCCAAACCAAGCGGGCAAAATCATAATCACAGCCGTTCAATTTGCTCGGTGCCCGGCCCTTAATGAACAGCGCCCAATATCTAGGCTGGGTCTAATCTTTGCCATACTTCAATCTCAAAAAGGTTCTGCATACAATCATTTTGAAAGCTGGGGTGATACAACTGCAGGTGACAACCGAACTTGTCGAGTAATCGCAAACGTTTCAGAAACCCTTAAGAATTCAGTGTATGAGAATTTGAAAGTAAGACCTTAATCTTTCATACTTAAATACACTTTGTCGAAATTTGTTTGCAAAGCTCAAAAGTGACCAACATTCTCTTACCATGTCCACATTCTTCACAAACGATACTTCTGCAGGGAAAAACAGAGAACAAGTTGTTTAACTCTACGCTGTTAAGAAACGTTGTCGCACTAAGTCTCCTAGCTGGCAGGCCGCGTTGAACATGTCTTTCCCTCCGAGTCACAAAGGTCGGTACACACGAGGAGACTAGTTCCTAAGACTAGTCCCTGCAACAGGTCGCGAGACAAGTCCCATCGTGTGAACTACCCACTTTCGCTTCAAAATCTAGTCGCACTCTGGTCCGTGCGACTAATCCCACGAATTCAAACCAGTTTGAATTTTTGGAACGAGTCATGGCGACTTGTTCTTCAAAACGCTTTGTGTGAACTGTTCGTGGGACAAGCCCCTGCGACCAGTCCCTTCGTGTAAACTCTTCAGGGGACTAGTTGCAGGGACTGGTCGCAGGGACCAGTCCCCTCGTGTGTGCCGACCTTAACTGCTTTGGTTACTAAAATACATTAGTTATTAGGTGGAATACCTGTAAACTAGCTCTCAAGCTAAGCGTATATCCACGTTAAATAAAGCATTCATTCATTCATTCATTCATTCATTCAATTACAACTTTATAGACATATTAAAAATTCAACTGAAGGAGACATTCAAGTTTTCTCGGTTGGTTCTCTGAAATTGGTAAGACCGTGTATATGTATAACTGCACATGGACTGCATCTGTAAAATAGCATGCAAGTCATACAATAAGCTCTGTTTACTGACTTTTTCATTTAGAGCAATTTTCATTTGAGTGTCATAAAACCAAAACCAAAGTAATCACTCCAGCCAATCACAAAGGACACAAACAATCCAACAAACCAATCAAAGCTCGATACAATTACATGTAGCATTCGCAAAGCGCGGGAAAACGCGTGCGCGCGAGTCACGATTGGTTTAGTTTTACTTCTGATTGGATGAAAAAGTGGCGCGAGTTTTTTAAGCCAATGGTGTAGCATAGTTATGCAAAACCAATTACTTTTCGACACTCAAATGAAAACCGCTCTAATCGGGCTTATACTTGAGTCACACTGGAAATACCTGTGCCTGAACTTGGCGGGGTCTGTATGGGTCTTGCACTGCGGCTAATCACAGATTAAGGAAAATGACGATGACAACATTTGCGTGATGTTCAAGAATACATGTCTGTTATAATATATAAACCATATACCCAGGAAGAAGATCCATTGATCCAGTGACGAGTTTTAAAAAGCAAAGAGAAAAACCATAAACCCTAAATAACTGAACTTGACTAGCATGTTTAATTTCAGTTCTCGTCTGGTCTTCGGTCTCCATCCACAACTTTTCACAATATGGTCAATAAATAAGTCCGACTCAAGAGGGGGGGTATAAAACACATAACAAAAACTCTCTTCTGTTTCCTTCTTTTAACTATTTTAAGTCAAATTCCTAAACTACCAATTACTATTTAACAATAATTATTATATTACGAGTTCGAGATTTCTATGAGGTGATAGTTCATGAGGCCGAAGGCCGAATCAACTATCACCTCATAGAAATCGAGAGCTCATAATCTAATTGTTAAATAGGGTTTAGTATATAGATCTCTAATGACTGTCGCCAAACTTAAAGCATTCAAAGCTACAGTTTTACAAGAACGTCAAAGGATACGCAGAGGTGTTAGCATTCTCCTGGCTGGCCTCGGGAATAACTGAAAGATCTCGTTTTCCTGTGGTGAACAAATCTGCAAAACAGAGCAAGGAATGGTTGAATCAAACGTTGCACTGTTTGGTGGTGCAATTTCATTGACCCAATTTTAGGACAGTTCCTTCATGCACAGATATGAATCCATATCAAATGCATCTCACAATAATGGTTTAATTTTGTAGAACAGACACGACAAAGACATTACGCTGTTAGGATAAATGACAATGACAAGGGTAGAATGGATGTCAGTAAACATCTCTCTAATTATATCTGTTAGATCCAACACCTTTCTATTTAAGCAAAAACCAAACCAACTTGGCTGGCAAACCATCTGTGCCTCTTCACAGTCATCGCCCCCGAGTTGTTTTAACTTTTATCTTCTCCGTTTTAATAACATTTGTATAACAGGAATTTCTTTTTCTCTGACATGTTTCTTGGATCGATCATATGTTAATATCTAGTACCTTGATAGGGGAATGAGTTGCCGAAAAAGTCATCCAGGACTGAGCTTTTATTGGCATCTGCACTTCTGACACATTAAAACACACATTTATAAATATGGTTAATCAATGACGGTGTTTAACTTCAGTTCCTGCTGCATGAAACAACTAGCAGTATTTGTACCTGGTCAGGTCCATATTAGGCTTCACATCACAACCTAACATTCTGTAATGTTGCTCCAACTATTTGTGTGCAACTTATTCCTGCCAATCTGAAATTATTCTCTGTATAACATCAAAAACTATTGCAATCACACCATGAAACATGTACCTTTGGCTTCTCAACACTGGGTCTGTCTTAACAGAATCTTTATGATTTATTATCCTGTCATCTTTTTCTTCAGTTTTCTGAGATGATACTGGATGCTTCCCATCTAACAATGCTTGATCAATCTCTGTGATATCCAGATCATCATCATCATCATCATTAAACATGGAGTCATCCCGCTCATTGTTATTGACATGACCACTTCTCTGTGAGTTCTGTGATTCTGAAGTGTTGTTATGCAACCTGCCAGTAGTCTTCTGTCGAGTTTTTTCAGACTGTGGCGGTAGATTCTTTTTTGCAGAACTAACGAACAAAAACAAGCCAACATAAACAAATAGTCTGCAAAATATATTGTATTTATTAACGTTTCTTCATGCGGCTTCTCCTACTCAAGATTTCAAGTTTCATCTGCCAGAGATGTTCAAAGATCCTGTAAGATCTTGTAGGTCTGGTAAGATCTCGGTCTCAATACCGGTAATTCAATCTCAAAAACCTTGCAATAACAATATTGAACAAAGGAATTATTCAAAGATCCTTCTCACCTGTTGACTTGCTTGTCTTTTGATACTTTGCTAGTTGATGGCTGCTGGCTACTGGCCGCTGCTGTGACGGAGGCTTGGGAAGACTGGGTAGATGAATCATGATCAACCAAAGTTGCTAGCACAAAGTCAGCTTCATAAGTTGGATCACCATCCATACTGAATACAATGGGTCTGAAAAAAAGATTTAAATCATAATATTAAAATAATAAATTTTGATTTTTTTAAGGCAAGAAAGTTTTTTGTTTATAGTTTTATCATTCCTAGGCGAGTGCAGGTGCTTACAAGTATCTGAGAGGGATAGCCAGGTCTTGAAAAATACCTTGAATTTTAGCTTGCTCTTATTTTTGTTTTCTCCTGGTGTAGGTGACACAAATGATTAGAATATATTAAGGACAATGAGTGTAAATATGATTGCTTATTATTGCTCGTTACATGTTGTTCACTTACTTGCCACTTGTTTCAAAATGTACATTTATTGGCTGACTTGAGAACTCGGCAAATATCAAAATAGCCTATGATAAGATACAGTAGAAATAAGGTTAGCAAAAATTAATAATTCCAGATTGAAGAAATCTTGACATAGGCAAAAATGTGGAAATTTTCCCCTCTGAGAGATTTTCATTTTTTTGTTCTACATTAAAAAAGTCCTGATGAATTTGGTGAGTACCCTTAGCTCTTTGAGGCAAAACGTCACATCTGTATCAACTCCAATCTGGTAATTATCAAACTCCTCTGGAACCAGCATCATCTCTGTGTGAATAACTCTATTTGGATCTGCAAAAACAAGAGCAGTTAGAGAAAAATCAATGCTTCATAACTTATCTTTTTCAAAGTTGCATGTGTTAGTGGGAGTGATATACATAAAAATCTAGTGATCGAACCTCATTAGTTCCAAAACAAAACTTGGCATCTAATTGTGCAATATGATTTTGGCATATCATCAGTAGTGCTTGTTATTAAACAACTAATAAAAAGGTAGTTACGAATGCCAGCAATTTGAAAATCAACCAATCAGATTGCTCTCTTGCCAGTACAATATTTTCCAACTATGGGACTGGGCATAGCCCTGAATGATCCCACACAATCACTTTCATTAGAGGTGTCCTTGTCATTTTATGGCTTACTTGAAGTTTATAGAGTCTTTTTAGTCTGTGATCATGGGACGTTTTCAAAACACTTTTAGTAGAGTAATAAATCTCTGATTGCACTCGCTCTATACAAAAAAGACCTGTGGCCAGTATTCTCCCAATACATGTACATCCCTTAGCACTTTGGTAGTAGGATAATATTATGCCATTGTAACCCACTGTTGTAATATTTAATTTTCTCTGTACATAAGCAAGAAGGGGTGTGGCTGCATGATAGCAACAAACCCCAATTTGGTCACTTTCCTAAAGTTACTACCAACATTTATCTACTAAGAGTTCTTATTAATTGTTTCCAATTCTTACCTGGCTCATCATCCACATAGTTCTTGACTTTAAATGTCTCAGGACACACACAAAGGGTGATTTCTTCTTGGTTATTTGGAAAATTATACACCGCATCATTAAGAATCCTGTTGAAAATGAGACATCGTGATTGTCAACAATGCTATGAATAATAATATTATTATTGCTGCCAGTGATAGGTTTGACTGTTTTTTTTTCTTTCTCAAATGGTAAGCAAAGTTACATCTCTGGATCATGTGTTCTAAAGAAATCTACAGTCGAGTGTTGATTTATACTCTCAATCGACCCTCAATTGACGTCTCCATGGTGATATGATATGTATCAATCAACACTTCATGGCATGTCTGCGAAAATTAGTCAATTCTCAACTGACTGTCAACTGAGAAGTTGATCAAGTGTTGACCCAGTATCCGTCAAGATGTCCATCAAGTGTCAATTGAGATGCTGAGGGTTGATCAAGGGTATTGATCCACACTTGACCACAGGTTCCTTTAATACAAATGATCCACACTTCTTACTTTGCTTGTGCAGTCATAAAGTTGGGACACAAGTCTTTTGAGAACACAGCTTGAAGTGTTTCACACTCCTGGAAAGTCAAGTTGTATGTCTTTGTGATTCCTGTCAAGGAAATAAAGAAATAATAATAAAATGAATACATCACAACTGAAAAATGATTAGAATGAATAACAGAAAATTATCTCAAGCTGCAAGCCAAGAACTAACAGTGACAACTAAATTAACTGAGCACTGAATTTGACAGCAGTTACTTACCATGTCTACAGTAAAGGAGGAATACCAGCCTAGCTTCTCTGACATTCAGATCTATTTTGCACTGATCCACTGTCTTCTCAATGGTATTCATGGATTTGAATGCCGACAGGCATGACTGCCAACAAAAATATGTTCACAGTCCTCTATTACATATGTGTTGTGGTTCAGTATTTAACAATTTGGTATTATCCTTCATTTAGGAGAGAGAAGAGAGCTGAAAGGAGATAAGGGGGAGAGACTTGAGGACCTAATTTGCTGTCTTTTTTATCATACTCGTCTAGCTAAAAGTTCATGTGTATAAAGAAACAAGTCTCTCTTCCAACTGAGTCTCAGTTCTTGACAATGATCAGTAATATCAATGCCTAAAGGTTAGCTTGGTGGAATGCCTCTATCATATAATACAAATAATTCCTCTGACCTTCATAGCAATTTTGCACTTGAATAAGTCCTCTTCTTGTGAATCAGCGGGCTGATCACTCGATCCATCATCATAACTTATGAAAAAGCTCTCATTGAAGAGAAAGCAGGCATATGCTGAACGAGATGAGCTAACAGTTCTTAAGGCAAGCTGATAAAATGGGAGATTGGGCAGTTAATGTATAAATATACAAATAGGAATCAATCTTGACGATTCAAATTGTTCCACACTGGAAACATTTACTACTCCCCAGAAACTTTACAGACTGTCTGAGATCATTAGCAACTGTGTGACTTTTTACCCTGGCCCCAGTTGTGCAAAGGGTGGATAAAACTATCCACTGGATAAATCACTAGCTGGTGGATAGTGTAGTTTGTTTTGCCAACACTTATCTATTGGAAAGCGATTTACAGTATAACATGTATAGTGTTTATTATCCACCCTTAAACAACTAGGGCCTGAAGTATAAATGGGTATCAGCAAATGGTTGGGATAATGCCAGGAGACCTTGTGATGGAGAACATCCCTGGGAGTTAGCTGAGAGGGCTTTTTGTGAGAGCTATTACCCACTTCCACCCAGAATTGCTGGTATGTATGTATTACTTAGCAATCTGGTGGTATAGCTCAAGATCAAGATCAATGATCCAAGATCCCATGGTGCATCAAAGCAATCAATTAATCCATTCAGATCAAGGATTCATTGGTTCTTTTCATGGACCATTGTAACGATATCCATATTATTTGATTCGGTCTAAGTTTCATGACTGACATTGCCATGGTAACGGTTCAGACCATGCTTTCCGCTTTTGACTTGTTAGGCTTAGTCAAGAGTGTAGAATAAACACAGCAGTTTGTATCTCCAGTTCTGGTTGATTCTTCTCTATTCTACATACGAACAACGATACATGGTCAAGATCATCCCAAAGAAATGCACCCCTAATCTCACATGGTCCAAAGGCTGTCTACTTATTTGGATGTAAACTATTTGCATCTGGTGTTAAATTTTGTTAAGAAATCATGTGCTAGCATTGAACTGAGACTCCATTACTTCAAACCCCAAGCCAATTAGATAGACACGTCTAGATCACGTGATCACAGCACTCAATAGTTACTCACCCCTTCTGACAGAGCCTCCAAATACAGCTCACAACCAATCTTGGACAAACAATGGATCGCTTTGGCGAACACTGTAGAGTCAGAAAAATAGATTAGGATGGCAAATGACAGTTTTAACTCACTGTTAACTCAAACAGTACGGAGTACTTGCGTTTCACTGATCGTCCGGGAATCACACAACGCATCTTAAACAGCTGACAAGATTCCTTTGACGTTTTTTGAGATCATGGCGTGATTTTCCAGAAACAAAACATGGCTATTTTCTCGAAATTATCCATATGTATCTTCACAGATCTTCATTACTAGCGTTTTTATTCGTAAATGGTTAAAATTGTGAAAAGATTCGTTCCAAAAATCCTCCAATTCAAAATGGCGCCAAATCCTCGAATCCGCTGGCTAACCAAACATCTGGCTCACATCCTGAGCAACCAGTCAATTCAACATGGCGTCCACAACAACAACAAAGTTGCCCTCTTGGTTACTACTTTCAAAGGAAGATATCGTAAAATCCAGCGAGTGGAATAATTTGACTTCAGAGCTGTTCGATGCAGTACAACAACAACTTACTGAGAGTCATGTTTCTTACTTCTCCGATCTCACAGATTCAGAGAAAATCATGTTTCTTGATCGTGCGGCAAAACTCGTCCGTGACGGCTCTTCGTATCAAAGGCTGGTAGGGGTAGTGTCAGAAGTTCTTGATCGAAATCTCAACGAAGACGTTACGCAAACGCTCATTGATCCATCGAATACACACACAAAGGCAGAACTTTTTCTTCAAGGAGCCTCAAAAGCGGCCATCAACTTGTTGCGAAGATGGTCTGATTTAAGATCAAAACTTTTTGCCTGTCTAAACCGTCCTCTGCCAACTGAGTTGCGAAAAGCAGTGTGGAAAATGTTTCTAGCGAATTTGATCGTTCGCAAAGACTATTTGGAAAAGGTTTCAAGGAGCAAACGAGACACGATTTCACCACACGATGCGGCCATAACCCAGAAGTGTGAAGCATTTTTGTCCTCAGAAACAAGTTTTCATGAGCTCGCTACTCACCCAGCCCTTCTCAGTATCATGAAAACTTCCTTATCATACCGGCACGTAAATATAAAGGGCACATCAACAATAGTTGATACAGACTACTTGTTAGCCTTGCCTTTTCTGAAAGTAATGGCAGCAGACCGTGCTGCGAAGGAGGTTGATACTGAGGAAATTGCAGACTTTATTGAAGTGTACTTTACCTTTATGGAGTCCAGACCTCCACTGATGAGGGATTCTCGATCGAAGGTAAATTCCATGTCAGAAAAATCGGGTTCTCCTTTACAGTCTTGTGTCCTGTGCCCTGTGAAGGACCCAGGAAATTTAAGTGTCTTGTCCAGAGAGAGTTCAACACTATGACCCTGGCGAGGGCTTGAAAGTGCTATCCAATGCACTAATCATTAAGGCATCGCACCACGCTGCAGTGGGATGCCTGTACTCATCATCGACCTCCTCTTCCATTCCATTGCCTCCACTGAGTCTTGCATTTGTACTGTCCAGAGCGATTTCTTTTAATTGATGCTCATTTATCCCTCATATGCTTTGGTAGAGACTGCTGAAAATCAGGTTAATAAAAAGTATTAAATTTCCTTGAAGTTTTTTATTTAACCCATTTTTTTTATTGACATATTATCTTTAGGAATTCCAGTCAGCTCAAAAACAATATGGAATAAAAATGGCTGATATCCTGGAGACAAAAGATAAACAACTTGCATCTACAATACAAAGAATACTTTCACAAGGTAAACCAGGTGTTGATGAGAAAAAAATGCATTTACATCAAACTGACTTTGGGTGCATACCTTTGGGGGGATCTGGATCAGGATCAGTGATCCAAGATCACTCAGATCATGCAGCATCAAAGTAGGTAATGAATCCATGACTAGAGTGAATTCATTGGTTCTTTTAATGTGCTATGATGTGAGTGATCATGGATCACTGACCCCAATGGAATGCACCCTATAATTTCTACCAAGAATGCCATTGTGTATTGACTGATCAGTGGTCAGTAATGGTCTAGTTGTAGACTTATTTGCATGATGGAATAGACTATTGACTCAATTTTGACACATTTAAATGATCTTGACCTTTACCTTAAGTCTGTAATATCTGTAAGTATGGATTACTTTCAGTTAGCCTAATGGATGTTCAGTTTATGGTTGTACAAAAACATTGATTTGCTAATGGTCATAATCAAGTGAGCAGGTCATAAAATTGTCCATTTGAACAGGTCGACCAGTTCAGTTGGCAGAAAGTCTGGCAGCTCTCATGAGGTCTTATGCAAGATGCATGTTTGTTGGTAAGACCTAACTAGATTCTCAATCATTACTTGCTGCTATTTGTAAAAGACACATTTTTTTTAAGGGGATTCCTCCCTTAAGCAGACACCTTCCAGGAGGCATTTCTCTAAACAAACACTCTTTAAAACAGATACCTTCCTTACAGGTTTACCCACCTTGAGCTGAAACCTTAAAAGGACATATAAGAAGCCAACTCTTTTAATAAGACACCTCCTCTTAAATAAATGCTCAATCATTGGAGCCTGTCCAATATACTTCTAACCTTTGAGTAACACCTTTTGCAAGCAATCACTTTTTGTGAGAGAGGCAACCCAAAGGAATTTGAAATGTTAAAAATCTCTTCATTTATCATGAATGTTTATCATTGCAGGTTTTCTCTCTCTTGATGTGGTGTGCTATATTTGGGATCAATACATTTTGAGCATGAAGCTTTCATCCTTCCACTGTATTGCTACATTCTCTTCTGCTATGTTGATGTTGCTGAGAGAGGACATACTAACGTGCCACAATGTGAGACTTAAGTTTGTATTGAAAAATATTCATTATCAGCGAAAGATCACAATCAATTCAATATTTTATTCCCACGGCCTTTTTGCACGCATTCCGTGCCTACGATGAGAGGCAATATAAAACAATACGTGAGGTTAACATGATTTCTCTTCTTTTTCCTGTCTGACTAGCCGAAGGAGGTTGAGGAAGTTTTACTTGCAAAGAGCAAGGCACTAACCATAAGAGAATTTCAAACAGTGGTAGGTCTATTTGGTTTGGTTTGTAAAACCATTGCAGTGTCTAACCAATCAGAGGCTCTAACCAGAACAGAATGTCTGACCAATCAGCTCAAGTCTTTTAAACCAATCAAGAGCAAAGTAATAACTAACCGTTACTTGGCTTACGCGCGTTTTCGCGCGCTTTGTACCAGTCACAGTGCGAGTACTGATTGGCTTATTGCGTTGGCTGTTTGGTTGTTACGGCCGTTTCTTTTTCAAACAGAACCCCCAAAATCTCAAAAAGACGGCAAAACTGAATTAAAAGTTTGTTAAGGGGACAGCGGACGGTGAGCATCATCATAAGACTAATCTGTGGTTTCATTGTCCAGGCTGAATAACAGATAACTTTTCCAAACTTTGCCATGCGGAAATCTCGTCTTTGAGAAGAAACAGAGGCATATATAGTGTAGCTTACAGTTCTTGTTGACGCTACGTCTAGAGATTTCGAACTCACGCTCTGTTGAAGAGACTCAAGGAGCCCGTTGAGAATTGAAAGATAGAGCGAGCGAGGTTCGACTAGAAAAATAAATAAAAATACATGTGAAGAAGAGCCNGAGAAAACGTTGAAAAGATTGGCGCGCTAGGAAACCGTAGCATTTAAATAGTCCTAATTTGCATACATAAATGGCAAGCTAAAATAAAAATTCCCACGTTGAATCCTATATATAGTTACTAACTAGTCGCAGCAACTAGCGGGAAGATAAGGTTATGCCTTCGTTCTCTCGTGAGTGATCGTAGAGGTTTCTGATTGGTTAATGACCACCGGAAATTTCTTGGTTATCTTCATGGCTCTTTTAAAAACAAGGCGCTTGTGTTTTTGGAACGTTTCCCATTGAAACTGTTGGGTATGCTGGTCTCTCCAGAAAACTATGGTAGTTTTGTGGGTATCAACGCTGATCCTGTTCTACTCTATTAATGTCTGTAGATTGACCGCCATTTCATGGATGACTGGCAGAAGCAAGTGACCGAAGAGGTTCATGGGTCTGAATTACCTCTCGTGGATCCAGTCGCAAGTATGAGATTTATTTCCTCGTCGTTAGGTTCTTTAGAGCGGTTTTTAAATGAGTGTCGAGAGTAATCAGGCAATGAATTTGGTTTTGGTTTTGGTTTTACTATGGTTTGAGATTGGCTGAATAGTCTTATTAGGACGTAATTGGTTTGGTTTTATACTGGGCAAGTGAACGAGATGTGCCTTCTTTGCTATTAATCTTGTTTTACTCATACCACGGAGTTTATTTTTTCATTTGTTGATCAGTTTATAGTATTCGGTGAAACGTCGAAGGGGTTGACGAAAACCTTGTGCCAAAGACTGACGGCATAGCTTCAAGAGGACAATTAATCTACTTCCATTAAATCTTTTTGTAAAATGTATATCCAGACGTCCTAACTTGTCTCGACGAGATTTTACTTAATCTATTTTATCTTATCTTTTACTAACTTATGATTTTTATTGTATATATACATATTGTAATTATTTATTACGTGCTTTTATTATGTTATTTTAAACTCCTAGTATAGTTCCACTGTTTAAGGAGTATACTTATTAAAGATATTAAAGATAAAGATAGTTCTATCATTATTTTGTTGTCATGTTTAGCGGTTGGCAGGTCCGCGCAGCCGTGGTCATGGTGGTTCCGAGGACAGCCTCCCAGCAGACAGCGAGTCGAAGACCGGAGACTGACTCGCGAAGAAAGAGAGGGAGAACGACGAAGACTTCTCATGGAACAAAGACGAGAAGAAGCGAGAAGGAAACGAGAAGAGGAGGAGCAGCGGCGACTCCGCGAACAAGAGATGAGACGAGAGTTTCAAACGGAGAAACAACGAGAGAGGGAAGAGATTGTAGCGCTCGAGAAACAGCTGGACCGCGAACGACGCGAGCGAGCGTCGGCTGAAAAACAGAAGGATGAAGAGATAGCTCGTTTGCAGGCTGAACTCGCTAGACTGCACGGCACGCCAGCGCCCAGTCCAAGTGTACGTTCCTCTGGTGCACCCTCTTCTGGTGTACCCTCCGTGGTGCCGACTCCAGCTCAACCTAGTCCTCATCCTCCGGGAAGTTCGCGCCAACAGGCTGAGGACCTGGTACGGTCTTTGTTGGGAGCAACACTACAGAGCATTGATACGGGTAAGAGCTCTTTTCGTTAAATCCTAACCCTGGTGAAATCCTTTGAATATTTCTCTCGTCTCTTCGAAAATAAGTCCTAAAAATTTCAGACGTAAAGACCAGAGACAAATGTGAAATATTTATAATTTATTCCGACAATTAGGGACCGTTCATTTTTTATGAGGGAGGGGGGG